AGTACAACTCATGCAACGAAAAGTCCCATTAAGTTGGTTAATCACAAGTTCGAAATCACCGAGAATAAGGACTTGAGTTGCCGTAAATCGTGAAGGATACCAAGGTTAATAATGAGGGCTTCGTATTCGGCCTGATTATTCGTGCACTCGAACTCGAGCTTGAGAGAAAAATACCAATGGCTATGATTGGGGGATTGAATAACGATCCCAATGTCAGCTGAGATGGAAGTACGAGAACCATCAAAGTACATTGTCCAGTAATTTTCACGTGTTTGCACTATGCCGATGTCCACATCATTGCCCCCAAAATCATATGGTGATGGATGTTGTGCCAAGAAATCGGCCAACGCTTTGCCTTTGACAGCTTTCTGGGGCACATACTGCAAACTGAATTCGGACAGTGCCATTGTCCATTTTCCAATTCGGCCTTTTACTATTGGCCGAGTGAGCATGTAACGAATGACATCGGTCTAGGTGATGACTAGAGTGAATGACGAGAGCATGTAATGCCTGAGTTTGGATGTAGCGAAAAATAAGGCGAGGCAAAGCTTCTCGACAGCGGAATAATTAATCTCTGGTGGGTTGAGATTTCGACTAAGATAAAAAATGGCCTGTTCGCGCCCAACATCATTGTCTTGTGGAAGAAGGCATCCGATGGACTCCTTGGCCACAAAGATGTATAGCTTGAGAGGTCTACCACGTCGTGGTGGGACCAGGACGGGTGGAGTTGTGAAGGAGACCTTAATTTGTGTGAATGCCTCGACGTTCAATGCACCGAGTCTAGTAATTTGTAACATCTCACTTCACCGAGAAGGCTAATGAAATGACCTCTACCAACAAGGATTCGAAAATGCTTCTCGGCCGAGACTTGGATAGATAACCAGTTGGCCTCGATGCAATACTGTTGATCCAAACTGAAGATGCTTCAATGTCAGCTAATTCTAAGGCGGTAGTGTTGTTTATCCAAACTGGAGATGTTCACCGGTTGTCTTCACAATGTTGTTTATCCAAACTGAATATGTGTTGGCAGAAAAGAAAATGAAAAATCTCAAGGTTGTTGAGAGGTTTCGCATAGAGCGAGAGTTTGCGCAAGGTAGTTTGTGTGTTGAGTAGGAAACCCCGAATGTGTGTTCATCCTTTGTATTTATAGGAGTGAACCTACTTTTGGCTAAGTTAGAACCTTACCCGGACTAGGACTTCTCATCCTGATCTAACTTAGACTCGACCAATCCTACTTTAATTAAGACTTTGTGTAACGAACCAGATTTTTTCCGTGTTCTTTAGTGCCTTTAGCTTTAACACTCCTGGGGCTTTAAGGATTCATCCATCATTTTTATCCAAATCAATCCTTCTCACAAAGGGACTCAATCAACAAACAACTAGACAACCCCCAATACCCAGCCGACCCATGATCCCCCTTACTACCACTAGATCAAGAGTCTCGGCCCATTTGTTACCTTCGGCCCAAAACATCGTTTTTTACCCAAACAATATCAAAACAAAACATGTAGCAATTTAGTAGTGACATATTCCATTAGAGCACTTAGACACGAAGAAGTGCATCTCTTTTAGTCCTACCATTTTGAAAAGGATTGGATAGGTAAGTTTTTATTTTTATTTATTTTTATTTCCATTAGTAATCCATTTTTAACCTTGGAGTTGGATGTCTTTTTCATTTCTCCCTGATAATGATTTTTAACATCTGCAAAAGTAGGGATAAAAACAGTTAAAAATACTTGCGAGAGTATAAGGTTGTCGTAGTATAGCAGCTCAAGCAAGGTCGTTTTCCGCAGGGATTGAATGAATAATTTATGTTAAAATCAAATCATAATTAATTATTTGAAAACAAAGTTTAGAAAAAGGTAATTTAATGACCTAAAATATTAAAAACGAATTTAATTAAAAACAAGGGTAAATTACATAGTAGCCAATTAGGTTTGAGGTCTATTACAATCCCATACAACGTCTTTAAAACATTTCACTTTCATACATCATGTACCATTTTATTTCAAAATAATACATCCGTTAGATTTTCCGTCCATTAATCTGTTAAATGCTGACGTGGCTGCCACATTTGTGCTGATGTGGCTGCCAAATGTGTGCCACGTGGCAAAAATAATAAATTTTTTTTTTTTTTTTAAAAACCTAAATCTTCTAAATTAAAAAAAAATAAAAAATAAAAAAATAAAAACCCAAAACCTGAACAAAACCCCACCCCATGAACCCCCCTCAGCCTTCTTATTCCCCGCTCCCATCTTCCCCCACCCCATACCTGCACCTTTGAAGGAAAAAAAAAAACCCAGAGAACAACCCAGATCTCATACCCCCGCGAAACCCATACCCCATACGACCACCCCCCAACTCAGTTCATCTTCCCCTTCCTCCTCCCATCTTTTCTCCCCCATCTTCATCTTTTTCCCCCGACTCCCTTACCTGCAACCACCATACCTTGAAGCCTTTCCTCTGGAATTGAATGTTCACCAAATGAGGCTGCGCATCGTCGGTCTGCAAACTAAGAACAAACAAACAAAATTAAAATTCAAAGATTTCAATATTTTGAGGGATTGAAGCAGGGAAAGGGGAATTGGAGTAGAGACTGCCAGTAGGTGTCGAGATTGTCGTCACGGAAAGACGAGACGCCATTGCCGGCCTTGCAGGAGTTGACGCTCCAAGCAGCCTTTTTGCCCATTTCTCTGAGATCGTCGTCGACTACCAACAGCTGGTTCCCTCCCGTCAACTTCGCATCCTCTTCTCCCTCCGATGACTTCGTCGCCATTGCCTCCTCTTCTATGATTGATTCTTTGAACAAGAATTAGAAGAAAAATAACCCTAATTTGATTGAGTTCCTAAAACCCAAAAAAGCCTAGCTGGATAGCAGAAACCAATCAAATCAAAACCCTAAATCCAAAATCCGTAAAAGTGAAGTGATTGCCTCGGTGAGGAATTTGAATTGTTTCAGGGGTATGAATGAAAAAAAGGAGAAGTTTTAGTGGCGCTGGTTAAATTGGCCGTTTTAATGGGAAGAAAATTGACGGCTCTGCGGGAGCTTGTCGGAGGTGGCTCTGCGGGCAGGTCGTGCGAGGAGGGTGTGGGTATGCCGCGGGAGGGGGGACAAGGTTTCTGGGTGGGGGGAGGTGTTGGGAAGAGCTCGGGGGGACGGTCTGGGAAGGTGGGGAAGGGAGGTGCTGGGGTGCGGGGGCGTGGGGGGTAGGGAAAGGAAGTGAGTTTGCTGGGTTAGAGGTTTCTGCATTTGTTTTGGTTTTTTTTTTTTAATAGAAGATTTAGGTTTTAAAAAAATAATAAAAAATTATTTTTTTTGCCACATGGCACACATTTGGCAGCCACGTGGCACAAATGTGGCAGTCACGTCAACGTTTAACAGATCAATGGATGGAAAATGTAACGGTTGTATTATTTTGAAATAAAATAGTACTTGAGGTATGAAAGTGAAATGTTTTAAAGATGTTGTATGGAGTTGTAATAGACCTCAAACATGAGGGGTTACTATGTAATTTACCCTAAAAACAATTAAATAAATTGAGAAAGTAAAGAAAATCAAAAGAAAATAGTTTTAAAAATAAATTTGAGCATTAGGGTTCCGCCGTTACCTTAACAATCCTACGTAATTCTTCCAATTACTTATGAATTACACATGCATATTTTGAAGGTTAGGCTTTCCTAAAGTATGCCCTACTTGGAACCTTCAACATATAACGTATATCTAACATGCAACCTGTCTGTGGCGTCCGGATCGAATGTGAACATGCAAGACTCATTAAGTTTAATTCAAAACTTGCATGCATAATATTATAAGCAAATTGAAAAAAAAAAAAACTATGTTTGTACCATACTTAAGGCCTCTGTATTTAGACCTCGTATAAATACTCGGGGGACTTAAATGTAATTATGTAATAAATGAAGGGGCAAATATGTAATAAGTGAGGAGCCCTAGTCTATAAAAGGACTCCTCACCCTCCTCATTAGGGGAGGCCATTTCTTAAGCCCCTTCATCATCTCAAAGCTCTCATCCCACGGGATAACAGAGAAGCTCTCTCTCCCTTTTCAACATCTCAGAGAAATACAATATCAGTGTGGACGTAGCCCAAACATTGGGGTGAACCACGATACATCTTGTGTTCTTTACTTTTTTGCAGATTCACGGTCGAATTTACGTTGTTCCAAGACCCTTCCAGCTTTGTGCATCAACATTTGGCGCCGTCTATGGGAATCGATACGAAAAGTTGTGTCGGTTGTCCTTCATTTTTTCACCTCCACCGTGAATCTGCAAAATCTGCAAAAATTCAACAACCCAAAACTTTCCCAGAAAAACCCAAGGAACCAGTCCACGCTCACCTTCTTCCTTCCTCGTTTCACTTTCTCAAGGCAGGCAAAGTGGGCAGCAGCAACCAACAAGTTAAACCAAAATGACTGACATTCCAACGCGGCAGTGGATAAAAAAAAAAGCATCTGCAACGATGGCCGTGACGATTAGTGTAGAGAAAGTTACCGTGAACCTCTCTTTACCCGACCGCGGCACCCTCATTCCTTCCGGCAATCAAACCGTCTGGGTCGACGTCTCGCCCTTCCTCGATGCCGCCTGTAAAGATCTTCAAGATGGTATGCTCATTAACGGAGATAATTTCAATCTTTTTGCTGCCATGTCTGCTTTAGAGATAACTAGAAATATTGCCCGCGCGTTGCTGCGAGATTAAAAACTGCATGAAAAAATATGTTTCAGAAGGATAAAAGATTGTTACAAATGATTAATGTTATCTACACTGAAAGATGTTTCAACTTTTTGAAAAAAGTTTCACATGAAAAGTATAAATTGAGTGAATCAAGCTCTTGAAGCTCTTTGAACCACTTTATGAGCCTAATTGGTACAATTGAAAATGAAGAGTTTAATCAAACTTTATGAACATAATTGAAACAAATTAATACCTTGACTAACTAAATGAACCGCAAATGAAAACATCTAAAATCCTATTCATTAAGTACAATTACCAAAGGAAGCTGAATAAAATGTCAAAAGTGATACACTGAGATAAGGTTGGTGGCATCAAAATCACTAATAAAATATGCATCAAAATCACTAAGACTTGACTTCACTTGCTTGTTAAAATATAAAAAATTCAAATAATATTGTTTCCAAAAACTTGTCTAAAGAAAAGAACACCATTCACCTCTAAGGCTCTAACCATTTTTTGGTGGGTGGGATGGACGCGCTTCCTCTTCCACATTTAAAGACCAATGTTGGGGGTAGACCAAGAGTAAGTGCAACCCGACTGCAGCAAAAAAAACGCAATTGACTTTCACACTATAGAAATAAATGTTAAAAAACACATACTCGCACCCAATGCTTTTTTTTTTTTTTTTGGTGCAGTATAAGAATAAAAAAGGATAACATTCCCCCGAAAACCCAAATTCATCCCCCAATTTCTTGCAACAAAATTTTAGTAATTACAAACGTCCCAAACTTACTAAAAGGTTTTCAATAACCTTCTTGCATTGCAAGGTCCAAGAAGAACCAAACCATTTCAAGAACTCGCATTGCAAACATAATAGAACTAATTCAAATATGAAAATCCACAAATCATAATGCTTCTATCTAGTGAATCATCTTCATGGACCGCAACCTCTAAAATCCTAAAAGGCTTCTTTCTTTTCTCCACTATCTGAATGTTCCATTTATTTTCTACTATTGAACTAAATTTTCACTTAATTAAATCTCAAAACACTTCCAACTAAATCTTAAATCAAACAGAGCTGTTCAATTATATTAAACTACACATAGGGAGAGGGAAAGAGAAGAGAGACCTGGAATTTCCAGGATCCTCAGTACTGAGAGGGGCATAATTCCGATTGGGATTCAAAAGCAAAGTATACACCAAATGCTATATCAGTGTTGTCAGATGCTGAAAAGTAACTGCAATCCAGGGAACAATTTCGTTTATAAGCAAAATATAAAATAAATAGAAAGATTCCGGGAAAATTTGTGATGGTGGAAAACATAAAAGCCAAACTAAAACTATAAGCCTGTATTAGAGGTTTATTAAATCCAATGTTGAAACCTATTTAATAGGATTGTTCAAAACCTAAAGAAGGATTGAATAGTCTTGATAGAGTAGAGGGAAAAGAAGAAGCAAGCCACTATAAAATTACAAACATCGTCCAACTGAGAACAATATGTAAAAAAGTTGGCTACTTATTTGTAAGATGGAGAATAAATGAAGGCATGCTCATGGATATGGAGGCTAATGAACATGGTTAGATACTGGGTATGCATATCATTTATTTAGTAGATATTGAAGGCAGGAAATGTAGTTTCATAATTGGAGAAGACCACTTAGGAAGAAAATACAACATAAATGTGAATTGCAAATATAAATCCAATTTTCAAACTAAATTCACTAATATAAATCTGAAACTTGAATTATTTATGTTTTCTATTAAAAGTTCCAGTGCTTATCTTCTAGCCATCATACGTCTAAAACAATACTTTTTCATCCAAATTTTTGAAACCATTCATACTCATACCAATCAACTCTATCGTGCTCAAATCAATTCCGTCTAATACGTAACAAAAAATTTGTACTTACATCTTTACTATACCATGTCTCATTTTCATGTCCATTAGTGAAGTCAATATCGTCGCACCAACTGACCATTATTTTGCAACTGTGAATGAGAGATCTAGTTAAAATCTACCCCACGGGATCTTGCCACTGGAGGAGCAGCTTCCGCCACCGTAAAAAGCATCGCTTCCTCAAGAGAATGTCTCCTTGTTTCCTTTGGAGCTCCACATGTGGCTCTATCCTTTACCAAACTATTGGAACTGATGCTCATATCTACTGGTTTAGGAGCTGGTTGTTTTGCATTCTTCGCAACCCAGTCTTTCCTCATACCTGAAAGTTCCCAAGAAAGTTAAGAGCAGAAGGAAATAACAACTGACGCATTCTCCATGTTCCACATAAAGCTCATAATTAATTTTAGAAAACAACTTACTTGGCACGAATAGCTTTCTCAGTCCCAAAATTTGGTGGCAATTCTTTTCCCAATAACTATTTCCCTTTTCATTCACTTGTCTACACAAAAGTACATAGAGAATTAACTAACAGGATAATGAATCAGAACATAGTAGGTTAGAAAAGATTAAAAAACACAGAGAGCAAGAATGTGAATAAGGAAGCAACTGCAACTCAATGAGACAGATTACTGTAAAGTAAATCATGGTTCCCAATCCAAATACATATGCTAAGCAAAGCACAAATAAAGACATGAAATCATTGTAAATTTTGAATAAAATCTCTCTCTCTCTCTCTCTCTCTCTCTCTCTCTTCTCTCTCTCACACACACACACACACACACACAAAATAGGAGAAGCAGATTTGCAGAGACATAAAAGGGTAAAAAATGAAGAGGCAACAAACGGTAGGAAGAGTATAAGGAATGTTTAAAACCTTCTTAGAATTAACCACATTTGGATTTGTTCAAAAAATTACAGAAAAGAATTACCAACTACATTACACTAACATTGTTGTCCCACTAAAAAAAACTCACCAAAAATAGTCTCCGTGGTTAAAGGGATTCTGCCTGATTCCAAAACATATATCTCTCACTGTCAATCAAATATGTACTAAATCAGTGTAATGCACTATATCATGTTCCGAACCACAATGCATTCAAAGCAATAATCAATTGAGCACACTAAATAAGTGGAAACATTTATACCTCAATCCGATTTGTGTCTCCTCATGTTTGCTTGTAGTTACAGACTTTTGATAGGGTTTTCCATTTTCTTCCAACTGAAGAAAGGAATTGGCATCTAGTTATGTTTCAATAGTTATGTGTTCAATGCGAGGGAGAGCCAAATCCAAGCAGTAGGTTTCCGTTAACTTCCCACCAAGGAAAGTAAAATCAATTGCAACGATAAAGAAAAAGCACAAACTTGTAAAATATGATACAAAACCATAAAAAGCAGGAAACGGTATTCTCAAAATGCACAAAAATATAAAAACAGATAGATCCCTACGTATTCAACCTTCAGAGCACACAAAAAGTTAAAATTTTCTTCAATAAAAAAGTCAAAGGGAAAATCTGAAATTATATAGCCCAAGCACAAAAAGCTTGGAAGCCTGCACACAAAAGCCCCAAAAAACTACAGCCACACTCAAAATCCGAACGCAGGAACAAAACTCCAAAAATGAAAAAAAAAAATATTTACAGAAAACGGATCTGCAAATGGAACAGAACCCCAAAATATTTAAATTTTGTTCAACAAAAGATATAATATGAAAAACAGAAATTATATACCTTGATAAGAAAGGGCTTCCAATCTTGTATGCAAAAACCCCATAATTCGAACCCCAGCCTTTCCTGAAAGCAAAAACCAAATCAAATCAGGCAACCACACGCAAATCCCAAAAAAAAAGTAAAAATCAAGCACACTGAGAAAGACGAAAAACTCACCAGGAAACGCTAGGTTATGTGAGCAAGAAATTGGATTCCGACCGACTCAAAAAAGGCAGAAACTTGTAAGGTTGAGGGTTTTCAAACAAAAGAATTTTGCAAGAGCGCAAAAGTTTCTGACAAGAACCGGCGTCGATAATTGGCGAGAGAAATATGCAAACGGCAGATAGAAAAGAAAGGAAGACTGATTTGCAGAGCTTGTGTGAAGGGGATGAATTTTCAAATCGCTGAAATCTCTCTCTCTCTCTCTGTCTCATCTCCCTCTCTAAGAAAATCCCTAAAATCCCTCCACAAATCCTCCCATATCTCTCTCTCACACACACTCTCCATCTCAGGGGCGGTCCATCCCCCCGAAATCCTCATCGAATGACAACGAAGCCAAACCTACCCCACAATTCGCTCAAAACATTAGAGGACCAAATTGCCCTTCCAAACACATCATCCCTACCGTCGAATTTTAAGCTTTGATGGGCAGAACTGTCATCAAACGACAGAGGGTCCAACTGAGGGCCGGGCTTTTACCGAAAACTAACGAAGCCCATGAAAAAAATTGAGGCAGCCCAAACCCCAACCCAGCCACAGATTTGGTGGCAGCAGTGTGTAAATAAGGCAAAATCAAGGGACAAAATTTTGACTGTAGCTAAGCTACAGTCAAATCCCTCCTCAATTTTAGAATAGATAATGGACCCGAAGATCGAAAGTATTTTGTCAGAAAATCTTCAGCCGTCAGTCAAGATCTACGTCGACGGCTCGCCGTCACTTGCCGTGAAGCAATCTACTGCGAGCAAGCTCAGAAGTTTAATGCCTTAACGACCACCATGTCCTGCTTAAAGGAACTCTCTTGAAACCCAACATGGTTACCCCATGATCTAATGCTAAGAAGGTTTCACCAGAAGTGATTACTGAGTACACAACTCGTGCTTTGTTGCGCACTACCCATGCAGCTGTCTTTGCTATTGTGTTCTTGTCCGGTGGACAGAGTGAGGAGGAGGCTACCCTCAACCTCAACGCCATGAACCAACTCAAGGGAAATAAGTCGTGGTCTCTACCCTTCTCCTTCGGACGTGCTCTTCAGCAGAGCACACTAACAATCACCTCACCAGAAATGTTACTCGAAGTCTTCCCATACCTGTCTCTAGCGACGGGATCTGGTTCGAGTTGTATCTGAGGAAGGTAAAAAAGAAAGAGTCGGAGAAATCTGGTGACTTCCAAGATTTTTACATTGCGTGAGTGCATAAAACAACACCAGTTTCGACCTCTGTGTATAAATAGCAAAGGGACTCCCTCACCTTCATTAGAAAGTATCGCCGCCAACTAAGCAATCGCCTCACCGCGAGCATCATTCCTAACCCATCACTTTATGTATTGAGGAATGAGCCCTTATTCTATAAAATGGACTCCCTCACCATCACCGCCAGCTGAGCAACCGCCTCGTCGCGAGCACCAACTTTAACCCATCATTTTTTGTAATAAGGAGCGAGCCCTTATTCTATAAAATGGACTCCCTCACCCTCAACGCCATAAGCCGAGCTAACCAAGGCAACACAAGCAGAGTAGCCTCGCAACATGTGCTACTTCTAGTTGAGCATCATTTCAGATTGAGCACTACCTCGTATCGAGTATCAGTCATAGACGACATCTAGTTACTTCAACCCACACATGGACTGAATTTCAAGTCTCCAGCCAAAAGATTCTCTTAACTAAAGACTTGGGGGACTACTGTTTGTACCATACTTAGGGCCTCCGTATTTAGATCTCGTATAAATACTCGAGGGACTTAAATGTAATTATGTAATAAAGGAATGGGCAAATATGTAATAAGTGAGGAGCCCTTATTCTATAAAAGGACTCCTCACTCTCCTCATTAAGGGGATGTTATTTCTTGAGCCCCCTCATCCTCTCAAAGCTCTCATCCCACAGTATAACAGAGAAGCTCTCTCTCCCTCTTCAACATCTCAGAGAAATACAATATCAGTGTGGACGTAGCCCAAACATTGGGGTGAACCACAATACATCTTGTGTTCTTTACTTTCTTGCAGATTCACGGTCGAATTTACGTTGTTCCAAGACCCCTCCAGTTTTGTACATCAACAAACTACATATTCTTGCTAAGGCTCGTGGCCTCGCCCTAGAAAACGAAACTAGTTACGAAAATTATAAAACAAAATATTATTAAAATCACAGATAGAAAACACCTTGAAAATAAACTTGAATCGTCAAAAGCTCTCTAAAGCCAAAGTGCGTGCGTTCTCCCCCTCTTTTACCCTAATGGCTAACTATCTTATTTATACTAATACAAAATAAAACCCTAAAAGGTCTTAGAATAAAACTAGGAAACATAATAAAATAATAAAACAAAAAATAAAAGGTTTTCTATTTGAACTAGAATTCGGATTTCTCAAAAAACCAGACTTTTGACCAATCAAATCAACTCCGATTTGGTCCCAGAAGGTCTCCTTTGAAACTGAAGACGTGCACTACAAATCCTCAGCAGGAATCTTCCTTAAAATATGTCATCTTGACCTCCAAAATACCCAAAACATCTAGAAACGTCAATCTGGGAAAGATGCACGCGGGCCTTTATTTCATCATCACGGTCAAACGGCTAAGTAGAAAAATATATAATTTTGACACAATCATCTTGAAAGGCACATGAACATCCTTCAATTGGAAGCGCTCCAAAATTCATCCGTTTGGTTACTTTTTGCTCCAGATAAAGTCGAATGTCCTACATTGTAAATATATAACAAAGTATCAAAGTTCTATCAAAATAATCAATAAATTAGTACTAATATTCGGGTAAAATATATAGGATAATATCGCCTCATCACTCCCCTCAACATATTTTTTAATTAGAGAGTTATCTATTCCAATATGATACATAAGCATAAGGATAAGGAAGAGTTGCTACGAGTTAAGTGAAAATCAAAACAGAAAAGGAGAAGGCAGTAATGAATTAATTATCTTGGTTCATATGACTTTTCTCTTTAACTCACCTAGTATATCTTTAGGTAGTAATATCACTTGTAATAAATAAATTTTAAAAAAAAGAAAGTATTTTGTTTAATGGTTTTGTCTCCACCTAATTAGATAATATGTCATATTCGATTCACTTGAATGATATTGAAATAATATATATTGTAATGACTATTATATTTGTATTACTATACGACAAGGATTTTAAGTCTCTACATTTAGAAAGCATGCATTTATACACACTACGCTATATCTAAACCATTCTGACAATCTAACGAGTTAAAATATGACACACCATCTATCATTAAATTGAATTAGTTTCATTCTTTTCTATTTCCACGTTAACAATGGCAACCTCAGGAATGGTCGCCAAATTCATAAACTGATATGATGAAACCATATTAAGCAAAAACCCAAAAAAGGAGGATCGCTTTCTTTCTCCAAAAGTAATAGTTTTGATTGTCTACAATCTTTTTGGTATGGATATTGGGTTTTTGGTGAGATTTGTAACCTCGAACCAATAAAATCAATTTTGTTATAGGATTAATTTGTGAGATTTGTAAGATATTTGCTAGAATGTTGGATCTCTTTTAGGATGCGTTTGTTGCACCGGACTATTTCGAACTGAATTAGCTTCAGGAAATAAGTTGGACTGGCTTAGAATAGATTAAGCTATAGTGACTTAGTAAGGTGTTTGGTGCAGTGTCGGACTAATAACCAAAATAATAAAAAATAGTGAAATTGCAAATTTTAACGATAGAATTACTCCAACTCAACTGCAAAATACACACAGTCAAATCAAATGATATAATTGCATTAAACTCAACGGCAATTGCTTGGAAACGAAAGAAAATATCCAACTCAACTGCAAAATACACACAGTCAAATCAAATGATATAATTGCATTAAACTCAACGGCAATTGCTTGGAAACGAAAGAAAATATTGAGTTTTTGTGCATTGTAGCATTGCAATTTGCAAAACCAAACAGCGGTTTCAACTACAACTGAGGAATACAGAATGAGTACATCCAACTTTCTCACTTTTTGGTCTAAAATCCCTCTACGCCTCTAAAATTGAGAAATCTATAAACATTGAAATGTTCGGCAACCCAAATGTCCCAAAATTGTTAAAAACTTAAGCTCATCAGACCACAAATTTGAATGAAGAAAATTTTGATTTCTTTCTTCACAGCCTACCAAAATCCATGAATAATACCATATTCATTCATCCCAATGTTTACATACAATTGTAAGTAAAGGAATTTACAATATAGCTCACTAAACAAATAAACTCAAAACTATGCTATTTTGATACTTGTCTGGTCAAAATGCTTACTTTCATAATGCATAACCATCACCTGCATAAAAAAAACCAACATAATAAGAAACTTGGCAGACTAATAGAATCAATGTCCAAATTAGCAAAGTATTTTACAAAGCCGGCCATTGGCATCAGATTTCAATATTCCCTACTGGTTGGTGATATCGAAGTTCAATGCAACAATAAGATGTTACCGATTAGCAAATGCAGTATCACAAAGGATAGGAAATTAGCAAATGCAGAATCACACGTAATCATCTTTAGTCATTCCATTAGCTACAACTTCATTCAAATTTGAATTGGCATTAGCCATTATGTTAAAAGTAAGAATAGGAGCAGTAACAACTAAACGAATGAACCATAACTCCACCACTATTTGAAGTATCGATATCATTGGTCCATAATCTCCCCTTTAGACTACAATGTTCCATAGCGATTTCCAAGTTAGAGGCACCAGCCATATATACTTTCAATTTGATTCAATAAAACAAAGTACTAAATTATTATTATATATAGAGATGGCAGCTGTAGCATTTGATCCAAGTAGATGGATTGAGAAATATAATTATTGGCATCAACATAATGAAAAGTAGCAAGAGTATCAGTTCGTTTTACGATCACCGTATCCTTCCACTACAACAGATCCCCATAATCTATAATATGCAACTTCCACAAAACTTGAAGTTATAACAACACACATTGCAAATTAGAAGAACAAAATCTATATCAGTAATTAGCAAGCCTACTTGCGATTATATTAACATAAAGCAAGTAAAACAACACAAGTTTGCCTAAAACCTTGAAATAAAAGAAAGTTACAAATCAGAAAAAGTTCGTGCCTGGAGGTATCTTCTCTATGCTTAGCTTGTCATGAAACAGGGACCCATATAAATAGATACTACAACTTATTTGGTTTAAAGTTTGAGAATTCAATTAGCTACGATATCTAAGTTTTGATCATTCTTACCGGATGAGAATTCTGAATCAAGCCATTGCACAAAGTTCTCTCCTTTGGCTGCAGAAAAGGAAAGAAATTTAAGGGGACCAAATGTCCACCAATTTTCAGCATAAGAGAACCGAAATAAATATACAACGACAACCGATAATAAATATCCAGAAAGGGGAAATCAAATCCGTACAACTACATCATAAAATACCCAGAAGCAGAAATCATTGAAGAACAAGCACTTTCACAGCATAAGACCAACCTAGATTTCACATAATCAAAGCAATCCAGATTTCACATAATCAAAGCAATCCGCTCGTATTTGGGGGTCTCACTAAGACCACCTAACGAAGGAGTTAGTGAGAGCGAGTCCTACTTAATACCATTAAACTTGGTTTGGTATTGCTGAGCTTTGAAAAAAAAACTGTTTCTACTGTGCTGTGAGAATAAGCTCATTTTTGCTACGAGAATAAGCTCATTTTTGCTGCTTCACATTTTCAGTTTTTTTTTCAACCAAAACTGTGAAAATAAGTTGTTTAGTGTTTACGAAACACTTTTTTGAGCTCAGTTTTTTTTTTTTTTTTATACCCACTTTTTATAAAAGTACCTTAGGACCAAGCTAGTACTTAGTCTTGGTAGCCAACAAACAGAGGATTACACTAAAAACAAGTCTAGTTCAGTCCAATCCAGTTCATGTTAGTAAAGCCAAATAAACGTGTTCTTATTCTTATCTAAATTTTTAATTGCCTTTAGTGCCGTTTGTTAAAAAAATTAAAATAAATAAATAACTTTTAATGGGTTGGTTGGATATAGCAGTTATGGTTGCGATGATCCAAAAATTAGAATTCAAGAGAGAGATGAGATGATAAATTGAATTAAAAGTTAACGTCATTTAGGAAAAGAATTAAAATTTACAAAAATAATGTGGAATAAAATTTCGGAAGAAAAAAAAAAGAATATAGCTAATTAAATTCTATATTAACTTGTGTGTCATGTCTTAAGCCGTTAGATCATCTGAATTGTTTAAACATAGTGAAATGCAAATAAATGCATAATTAAAAATGGCTAGGTTGGAAGTACTTTTAAAATGACTAAAAGTATTTTTAGAAAAAATATTTTTGGGTTTTAAAAACACTTGAAGTGGTTCATTTAAAAAACACATAATTGATGCTTTTTACATGAAACACTGTTTTTTTTTTTCAGCATTCACTTGCATTCTTTTTAAGGATTTCTAAAAACATTTTCATCAAAAACTTTTTTTCATATTAAAAATATTTTCAAACGAGCACTAAATGTAGAGGCTCGTTACTAGAGGTTTTGACAAAAAACTTAACATATGTATGAAATGATCCCAAAATTATGACTTAAAGTATTAGATTGTGACGAAAAAAATTTAATGTATGAAATATTGAAAAACTAAAAAACTTCAGGATAATAAACTAAAATTAACCTAAATTTAAAATTTTGAAGTTATTTTCATTAATATGCTTAACCAAAATGCAAGCGAAGTTTTGGAGTCAAGGGGCATCTGAGTCTCTAGTTTTAGTCCAGTCTGTCCAGACAGCTCGGGATTGAAGTCAACCAAACTCCGACCTCATTTCTGCCAACTCCAAAATCCAATTCTTCTCCATTTCTCGTTTTTGCTTCATTTGGTAATATATGTCTGTCTCTACTAACTAACTGAGCCACAATTCACAATCCGTGATCACAGCTTGCTTATCCATTTTCTAAATTTTATGGGTAAAGGAGGTGGCTGCGTGCCAAGCAAGAACAAGCCACCCAAAGGCGTTTCCGATCAAGATCTTCCGAACCCAGAAAGCGATGGCCCTGTTTCAGACCAGAACCTATCCCAAATCACACCAGAACAAAACCCAATTGATATTGGGGTCCCACCACAAGAACAGCAAGCACAAAGGAAGCTGAAGGTTTTCATAGTGTTTTACTCAATGTATGGGCACGTGGAGATTTTGGCCAGGAGGATTAAAAAAGGGGTTGATTCCATTGATGGGGTTGAAGGGTTTCTGTTCCGGGTTCCGGAGACGCTGTCTCCGGAAGTTTTGGAGCAGATGAAGGTGCCCAAGAAGAAAGATGGTAACGCAGATGAGGTTCCTGTGATATTACCTGAGAGGTTGGCGGAGGCTGATGGGCTGTTATTCGGGTTTCCGACCCGGTATGGGTCCATGGCTGCGCAGATGAAGGCGTTTTTCGACTCCACCGGACAGTTGTGGAGGGAGCAGAGGCTTGCTGGTGTGCCAGCTGGCTTCTTTGTCAGTACTGGCACTCAGGGTGGAGGACAAGAAACCACGGCGTAAGTAAGACACCCTTTGGTTTCAAGAATTGTGCTTTACATTCTTCATATTAGTTTTGGTGAATTTTGTTGGTATGTTGATTTGAGTAAGACACCCTTTGGTTTCAAGAAAAATATCTTAGTTTCTTGTTGCTATGTGTAAATTGCGGGAACAGAATTGACATTTGATCATATGGCTTGTAGTAGAAATAGTGATCGGTGGCTTTGCAAGTTTAGAGAATGTAGTTCCGGCTCGATTTCAGAGAACAGAGAAGAGAAATTCGATATCTTTGGGAGTGCAGAAACCTTTGTGGGAAACCCATACTGGCTCTAGAATTTTCAGATTTCATGAAAAATGTCGCATGAAGATGATGAAGTGTGCATTTTAGTGTGGGGTAGTTGGTCTTTTGAGTTGCTTATTTAAACCTTAAAATTAGTGAGAATGGGGTTGTGTGTCAAGTCTCTCATACAGTTTATCAATAGGGGGAAAACCGGGAATGAAGGAATTTTCAACTTTCAGCCTGTTTCCGAAACATCTCTGTGGGGGTGTGAAAACTGTTGAAGATTGTCCAGAATTGTCCAAGAATTACATCCAGAACGAGGAACACTACGCAAATTTCGTCACTGTTGGACTTAATCAGCCCCATATGTGACACTTTAATGAACTTCTTGATCATACACTTTAATATATTATATCTTATTTAACGATATTGAGATTGATGCATATGATCATAAAACCAGCTTGATACATTGGCTTGTCAAGGTTGATAACCTAAGGAATTTTACTACAGAAATAATGCATTCCAAATTCCTAACTTGGGTGTAAAAGATTTCTTCTTTCCTATTTAATTTGTGAATGTACAACTAATAAATATTTAGTCAATTAAATTAAGATGTGTGCTTGGTTTGTGTCCATCTCTTTGTCAATTAAATTAACATTTTTATATGATCAATCTCATTTACCTGTAAACATGTTAATCTATATGAATTTTCTGCAGTTGGACGGCAATAACTCAGTTAGCTCACCATGGAATGGTCTATGTTCCTATCGGTTACACATTCGGTGCTGGAATGTTCGAAATGGACTCCCTTAGAGGAGGGTCTCCATATGGTGCTGGTGTCTTTTCTGGTGATGGCACCAGGAAACCAAGTGAAACGGAGCTGGATCTTGCAGAGCATCATGGAAAATACATGGCTGGAATAGTGCAGAGATTTGCACAGCCTTCTCTTCATCGGCCAGGTCATGGACTGGACTAGTTCTGATTAACCGACATTCTTGTGCATTTGCATACATTGTTTGTGAAGGGATCTTCTGATACGGGTGTTAATAGAAATTCGATTTTTGGTAAATGGTGTTGATAATGTTTAGATAGCTGAGAGATTTGTGCTTTCAAAAATTGTATAATCAGTAGTTCTCATGGTTGATGGTTGATGGTTGATGGTTCATTGAAACATTATGATCGTCAATAAAATTGTGGTTCGTGTTCTTGTTTACAAAGATTTTCCAGATTTCTTACCGTACATGAATACATTATATATGTTTCGATAATTTGTTTTAAACGATCAGTTGGAATGTAGTATACTACTAAATTTTCTGATGAATTTTAGACAGACATATTCAAGAATTCTTTTCTGGTTTTTTAGCTAAAATGGTCCTAAGATTTTCATAACACATAACTTTGGTCCCTGAGATTTAAAATCAATAGAATGATGCCTGAGCAATATTGTTCACTATCCATTATTTTGGTTCTTCTATTAAAAAACTCCGTTAAGTGGTCCATGAGCTTTTTAATGGAAGAACCAAAATGATGAATGGTGAACAATCTCATGAACCAAAGTTATGTGTTATACCCTCAACTTAACGGAGTTTTTTAACGAAATGACCAAAATAATGAATGACGGACAATCTCAGGAACCACTTCTATTTATTTTAAATCTCAGAAACCAAAGTTATGTATTATGCAAATCTCAGGGACCATTTTGATTAAAAAGCCTTCTTTTCATCTTCAATTTTGTTTAAAACAAATGTTACTGTTTCAGAAGAACATGAAGCTCAATATACTTTGATAAAAATGGAGGCTCTCCTACAATTATATGACTGCATATCAATAACTCTAACATCAGAGATTTTACAATACAATCGTACAAATACAACACGGAAACTTCACAAACACCAGTTAGCACAGACGAGCATTCACCCAGTGATTTTACACTCCAATCTCAAAACAACAACATATTCGCCCTCCTAGGACTCGCCAAGGATGAAGGTGACATCCCCCCACTGGCTCAGCATTTGCAGACCGATGGTTGATCGGCAGCGTAGAAAACGATGATGGATTTCAGTTTTTATCAACCTTCCTTCAATGAGCCATTTCTAGACCTTTTAAATTCCCATGGTGGTAGGCAGCCTTTATAGTGAGAATGTAGAAACAATGACGACATTGATACTTCCCTCTGTGGCATCGACATTGATGACAAGCAAGTGAAGGCACTTCTTAGTCTCTTTTTTTCACTTTCGCATCCTTCGAAATTGGGGTCATGAGGAATAGTGGTCGTCTTTAGGGCGTCTGGGAGTATACAGTTGCACAGAGAACCTAAAAGGAAGCAGATTATATGATTTCAGAACGAATTGACCATAATACTTAAGAAAATGAAGAAAAAAGTATTATTCCAAAACTAAAATACTCTTAAAGCTTGCAACTGAACATTTCTAGAAAAGGAGGCACGTTTTGCATCACTTAATGTGTTCGTTGACAGGAAATCATATAGATATTTTCTTCACTATAGTAAGGTGAGCCTCGTGGCATAGTTGAGTAATCATGAAAGGCTAGTGCTCTAAAGAGTTGCAAGCGTGGAAGGTAAATCTACATGAAATTAATGTGTGTGGTCCTCATCAATAGCTTGAGAAGAAACAGGGGTTCAGAAAGACATGTATCATATACCTATTCTTGCGAGTCGATTGACCCATTTGGGTATTCGCTTCCCAGTCAGCTTATAACATATATCTTCACAGAAATGGTTGCAGTTCTTGACAATCAAGTGGTATGAGTCACCAATGTAGATGGCAGATTGACGCTCCATGAACTCTCTAACCTGGAAAGGATCCAAGCATGTCATGCCAATGAAAATTGACCTTCTAAACTTGAAGCCAGGGCATTGTCGAGGTTCAACCTCAAAGACACCGCTTGATGAGTACTCATGGGCTCCAAAGGCATATTCCACCCCATGAACTGTAGGCATGAAAACATGATCAATAAACATTTGCACCATCTTGAGAAACCTAATACTCAGGATGCAACATAAATTATTTCAATGGAGATATTGTTTGGAAATTTTATATCCAAGCCTCCAAGTAAATGTAATTTCCTTCAAATATGTCTGACCAGGGAGAATAGCTATTCAGCCTAGTGGAAGGAACAGGAGGACGTAAGGTAAATACTTTCTAAGAGGAATGACGCTGCAAGACCAAACTAATTTAGAGAGTTTTACTCTTACACAAAACGTTGGTCGTTGAAGTGGCTATAATGGTGAACATGCATATTACACAATAAAGTTTAGGAAAAGTCTTATCCAGCTGAATCTGCGTGGGTTGAGTTTGTCATTAAGGTTTAACCGGCTTCATACGAGCAATATCAAGGTAAAAGTTAGACAACAGTTTAAGTTGATTAATCAGCAATTGATCTTACAATCAAGAATCAAACGTAACCACAAAATTTCAGGGGACTATGGTGGGACTACTCTTTTCAAAGAAACCACCAACATAGATTGATTAAGGTATGCTAACCTTCTACCCCGGAGTGAAAGATGCCAAGGCCTGCCCAATAGACATAGCCATTTGCTGGTGTCAAGTCATATACATTCAGATAGACAGGTGCGCTCCCTTGAATGTAGTCTTCAGCCTTCACTTTTGGAAACATGCAAAAACGTGAGGCTGCTTTGCCTCTCAAACAAAGAGGCATAATAGAGTGCCAGCCATCCTTTGGTCCTGATTTCATGCTGAAGGGTGAAACCAGGAATCAATAAATGCGTTGTCCAGACCTGCAAAAATGAATAGAAATTAATTTACGACAAGATACGAATATTGGCTTCAAAAATAATATCAGATGACATATCTAATTATCGTTTCTCTTTGTATCCATAATACCCTAAAAGATCAAATTGGCACTCATACTTATCTAGTTGTGTTATAATGTCTACAAATTCTGTATGCATTGACAAAGTTTATGAAACTTGAGACAAGAAACTTCGACTACCTAACCCAGCTCAGCTTTAAGATAGCTTGTTTGCACAAAACCTGTGGTGATACTGGTTTCATTTATGTCAACTTTCATTAATGCAAAAATGCAAATGGATATATCTTGCCGTAGTTCAATCTTATCAATTATAAAATTGCTGCTATTATATAACCAAGTAGTGAATTTCAGGACACCATGACAAACAAACCTAATAAGTCCCATATCTCAGCTTTAGGTATTTCAGCAGTTTTAAGTAGAAGGGTTACTGGCAGTGAGAAACGTTAAGTGTATACATCCCAAGTTGCACAGGCATCAAGAACTTTCATGTGGCTGGATGGAGATCCCCGTTGAAACTTGAAGGGAGTACTGGTGGATCTGAAGTGCGATCAGATCGCAATATTGTCAAAAGAAAATTTTCCCATCCAGAAAACGTCTTGTCTGCAAAGCCTTACAGACTAGCAACTGTGAAGCTTCTCAAGATTATTTCTGGGGAAGTTTCATCAGGATTATGACTATCAAGAATATAAATTTGTTCAACTTTTCTTTATTGCTCTAAGAGTATCTGAAGTGAATAATGCCATCCCTCACTAACCCAGTTCGATTACCACTTATCCACCGGTCATCATATCGGCCTCAATATATTAACCCATTTTGATTTCCATTAATCCTCATCGTTGAATTCCCATAAAAGCATCGACTTGAATCATGCTAGTGTTCATTAAGCCATCAATTTATCATACACCCTGCTTACAGTGCTTCACAGATGTCGGGTTTAATCTTTTACACTATGGAGTTTGGCCCTCGAAGGTGAAATGTAAAAATCCTAAATGCTGCAATTCACTATCAACCCAACAAAAAAGCCAAATTTCTAAGCTTTCCATATAAATGAAAGACAAAGAAGTTTGTTGAAACTTGAAAGATTCACTCAACTCTCACTGTCAGTCCACATCTTTGATTCTTTTGTTTTAATTCTCTCCCAGAGACATTGGTTATGCACTTAATATCAAATAAACATTTAAATTTCCAGATGTAAGAAAGAACCCATTAACAAAATGGTGCCAAACGTAAACCGTTTTACAAATTTTTAGTTCCTTCTTTTTTCTTCAAAAGTCTGAAAATTTTAGTAAGAATTCTGAAGATAAATCTACTGAAATTCTAACCAGAGAAATCTCCAAACAAAGCAGATCAGATTCATGAGGAAACTCGGGAATTAAACATTTACAGATGGAAAATAAAAAATGTACCTAATAAACTTCATAAAAAAATACGATGACAAATTAAAACGCAAGTTGAAATGCCAAAAACAAATCAAGAAACGCAAAAACTTGAGAAAATAATCGAAACCCAGTAGAGAAAAACGAAAACCCAGAGAAACCCACTAACCTCTCGGAAGAGTGACACTCGTCACCGACTGGAGGAGCCAATGCATCCGTCACCAAGACGCCAAGCAACCATTTTTGGATTTTTTTTTTCAAAATTCAAAGCAGAGAAGAGAAGAGAGGGCAGTGTGTGGAAGAAACCCACACATTATTTTTCTTCTTCTTTCTGTCCTGTTCCTGACAGAAATCAGAAAATGAAAGCTGGCGGACTACAGAATGACTGATAAAATAGATTTATGTTTAACAAAAGATAATATTACACTAAAAAGGAGGTAGTGAACTTGATTTTACAATGGGTTAGATTTATGTTTGACGAAAAGAAATATCACTATATCGTAATATTAAGTGTTTGACATTTAGTTAGCATTAAGTAGTACGAATTTTACCACTTAGTACTATAGTCTAGTTGTATTCATCTTCGCTGTTAAGTGAGAGGTTTAAGTTATATTATCTCCAAAGCAAATTTTAATCACATTATTGCATTGTGAAGTTTATCCCACTCTTACATCTCTTAATATGAATAATATCGTTTAGTAAAAAAATAAAACGAATTTAAAACAAAATTTAAAGGTTGCAAAGATTCTTTAAACCACTATATGTAATATCTAATCGATTAACTGTTCTTCGGACTGCTCACTAGTTTCTTTAAAAATTGAATAAAATAACAAGAAAATGTTAAATGGTGGATAAAGGTGAAATTTGTGAAAGAAACTTGTCTTTCACTTTGGGACACTTTTGACTGACCGAGTAATATGTGCTTCAATTTTAGCAAACCCTTGGGTCCTCCTCTCTGAGTAATGGTCAATCATGTGCTGTTTTTCTCTTTTTGGATGTCCTGGTTTGAAATAATCAAAATTTCAAATATTGAACTTCTTGACCGGATAAA